AGTGCCTCTGGAGCCCGCCCCCTCGGCCACCTCCCTGGCTCAGGCCTCATCAGCTCACCCTGCCCAGGGCACTGGCCCCCTCGAGCTGAGCACCCACACCCACTCTGCACGCCGGTTACTCGTCAACCTTCCAGGGTCCTCACCTCCCAGGTTGGGTCACCCTCCTGGCCCTGCATCGGGCACGAGCCCGTACTTGGCGTCTCCTGCTGTCTTCCCTTTGTGCCCACCTCCTGTGGCTGTTTAGATGCCACCTCCTCCAGGTTGCCCTCCCTGACCTACGCCTCTCCCCATCCTGGTGGTGGTTTCTTCCTTGCCTGGGTTCTACACGTCTGTCCCTCACAACGTGGGATCTGGGATTTCATGGGGCTGTGCTGGGTGGTGGCGATGGGGGGCAGAGAGCAGAGGCCAGAGTGCACCGAGCCTGCAGGCCGCCGCAGAAGTCTGTGCTTGATCCTGAAGGCAGGGGGAGCCACAGCCAGGCTTCCGGGGCGGGAAGATGGAGTCTCATAATGCCCCCTCGGGCTCTTGTGTGGAGGTGCATGGCACAGGGAGAGGCCTCACAGGCAGACCCCCAGGGGTGCCGTGGGGTCCCAGCCATAGCCCGAGGCCGGCAGGTGGGGTGCGGAGCGCGAGGGTGCTCCCTGGGCCAAGCCCTGGCGGGAAAGGCCAGCTGCACAGGGCCTGGGCCCCGAAGCTCCTCCCAGGCTGCACTCCAGGCTCCCAACCCCTGGGCGCCGAGGCCTCAGAGTCCCTGGACAGTCAGATGTGCCCTCCGCTCTGCTGTCCCCGCGCGGGGAGGGGCGCAGAGAGGAGGGCAGGCGTCATCCCGCTGCTTAGGCCCAAAGGCTGAATTCCAAGACAGGCGCAGCCCCAGGAAGCCACTCAGAGGATTAAAAGTCAAAAGCCAAGCAAAGCTCTTGAGTAAGTCAAGCCGAGGGCGCCGTCGGAACCTGCCGCGGGCGCACAACCCGAGCTATTAGACGCCGCCTCGTGAAGCCGCTGGGCTCCCAGCCCCGCGACTGCACACTCCCAGGCTGTCTAGTCGGCAGCTGCAGGCCGAGAGGCCCGAGGACCCAGAGCTCCTGTTAAGTGCAAGGGACCCTCTCCCCTGCACAGAGCCCCCGAACCCCTTCTCTCCCTCTTTCACCCCACTGACAGACAGGGAGCCACGCTATCCCTAAGGCAGAGGCGGCACCAGGCAAGGGCTCCCTGGAGAGGTGGTGAGCCCCTGGCCCTGGGGGGTGTGCAAGGAGCGTGGGGAGGGTCATAGGACACTCACACATCACAGGGGCCATCTATTCATTCCACAGCACTGACTGTGCGCCAGGCACTGGACCAGGGCGCCACCCTGTGGGGCTCAGAGCCCGGTGGAGATGGAGACAAGGCATGGCATCAACAGGTGGTGTGAGGGGTCTAGAGGAGACCCCAGGGGCCCTCGTGAGGCTAGTAAAGGGAGGACGTGGACATGGCGGGCAGGGAAGGCAGCTCAGCGGTGGTGGGTCACCCAGGCCAAGGCAGGATGAGGGGAGAGGATGGTGAGACAATGGGAATTCCAGCATTGGGGAAAGCATGTGCAAAGACCCTGAGGTACGAAAGAGACCAGAGTGGCTGGAGTATAGAGGATGAGATGGCCTTACAGGGGTGTGAGGGGGCCGGATGGCACAGGGCCTTGTGCGTCACGGCAAGAGTTGGGGAGCTTCCGAGGGGGCCCCACCAGTGACGAGCAGGACGGATTTATCAAGGTTATGCTGGCTGCTGTGTGGAGAAGTGACCAGAGGGAGGATGAGGGAGGTGGGGAAGCCTGTGGAGACTGTGTTGCCAGAGCAAGAAGGAGCCATGGCTGGCTGGGGGACATTTCAAGGTTGAGCCCAGGACTAGCCTGGGGTGGTCCTCCTGTCAGTACTGTTAGCCAGCGGACGGAGGAGTCCAGCTCAGGGAAGAGACAGGCTGGAGACAGGACCCTGAGTCATCAGCACCTGGGAGCATCTGGAGGAGGGACTGGACGGCTCCCCCGGGGCTGAAGGGAGCCAGGAGGAGGGGAGGAGCCGAGGGCGGAGAAGGGGAGGGAGGGGCACTCCAGGGGACAGGAGAAGGTAGGGACCCTCCACCAGGGGCAAAAGGGTACGTGGCCGGCCCAGGCGAGGGGAGAGCTGGCAGGACTTCCGTGTGGAAATGCCCTGAGGCCACTATGTGTGGACGTCACCCACTGACTTCTGGCCGGGCTCTGGGGAGCGTAGAGAGGGGACCCTGCCCGTGATGCTCTCGGGGCTGAGCCCGATGGAGCCAGGGGGCCAGACAGACCCGACTCCACACCTCAGGGAGCCTGTTGTCCCGGCCCGCGTGGAAGCCTGGGGCCAGCGAGAGGGGGCTTTCAAAGCCAGCCAGATCCCGGCCGGGCCCAGTGAGCGCATCCGTGGTGGAGAGCGGGGACCAGATTCGTGGAGCAGGTGAGACGGCGCTGGCGAGAGACCCTGCGCCAGCAAGCCTTCCACGAGGACGGGATCCTGCACTGAGGCCCTGCGGAGACCGGGGTGTCTGAGGTCCCCGTGCACTGGGGTGACAGCGCTCGCACGAGGCCCAAGAGCAGCAGCAACAGACCACAGAGTGAAGGTGCTCGCAGACCGGAGCCGTCCAGCCCTGCCTCCCGCACCGAGGGTCCCCGCCCCACGTCCCAACCTCCTGGGCTCAGACGGGATCCTGCGCCTCTGAGGCCGGTCCCTCCGCCTCCGCTCTGCCCGCCCCCCGCCGTGCTCCCCACCTTGGCTGAGCCTTCCCGCTCACCTTCCACGCTCAGCACAGAGGCAGCCCTGACCTTGGCAGGTGACACAGAGACGGTGGCGGCAGCCGTGGCCCAGAGAACAGCACACGGAATAGCGACCGGTCTAAGGATGCTCACGGAGGCACGCGCCTCAGCTCCCTCACCCAGCAACAGTTCTCCCCAGACGGCGCCGCCGTCACCCCCACCGGACCGACCAGGAAACTGGGGCAAGGACCCAAGGCCATGCCGTCAGTACCAAGCGCCGGGACACCCCGCCCGCGCCCTCCTGCCCAGGCCTCCTGCCCGCTGAGCGCCGTCTGCACCTGTCTGTGCTCACCGCGCTGCCTCCCAGTCTCAGCTTCGTCTAAGTTTCTCGAGGGCACAGACGGGTCTTCCTCAGCACAGAGCCCTTGTCACCAGCCCAGGGCCAGCAGAACACACAGAGAAGGTGCTTCACAAACCTGGACCGCCTCCAGCCTCCCGGCCCGCCCCGGGCCCTGGTGCCTTATTCAAACAGCGTCCACCGCATGGTCGGGGTCGGGGAGGCCACAGGCACGAGCAAGCTCAGCGGGCAGGCGCCAGGCCCCCTGAGCCCTCCTCCTCTCAGACCCTTCAGCGCGGCCCAAGCTCGGCCTGCGGGTACCGAGCCCCAAACCCGACGGGCCACCCCGGGGGGGCGGCAGGCACTTGCCGAGTGAAAATGCCCATCTCTGAGACGTCGAGGGGCACACGCCCTCGCCCCTTGGTCTCCTGGGCACAATCTAAACACAAGCTGACCTCGCCACCCTCACTTCCCTTAAAGCCCCTCCACGGCCCTCCCGTATACTCATAGAGAACCCCACTCAGTGCTTCCCAAACGGGGCTCCCCGGAACCCCAGTGTGCCAGGAAAGAAGAGCTCTGCTGGAACTCTCTCGGGAGGCCCTGGGCGTTATCACCGTGTGTGCGTGCGCGTGTGTTCTCACTGCGAGCTTTCTCAGAACCTCTGACAGACTCCAGTGTGGCGTGAATCCCCACTGCAGGGCCGGCACTTACTTTCCCAACCTTTTTGGGTCACAGGGCACTTATTTCAGAATACCCGACACAATGTGGGAAGCCCTGGCCAACCGGATGAAGTCTAAGCCATTGGCCCGATGCTTATGGCCACTGTCAGCCCAAGCCTGCCGACCTGCCCAGCCTCAGGTGTCACACATGCACACACGCACACCCCACACGCCCCCACACCCCACACGCCCCCACACACGTGCTGCTCTGGGCTCTCTGCTCCCCCAGCACGGCTCCCCACACACAGCAAGCCTCCACGTGGCGCTTGTGCTAGCCCCTTTTCCCACAGAGCCTGTGCCTCCGGCTACCTGGAAGCCTTGTCTATCCCGTAAGACTCAGCGTCGGACCCCGCTTCCTGAGGGCTGCCGGGCTGTGCGCCCTGTGGCGCCCCCGCATGGGGGCCGAGAGCCTGCCCCGGCGGTCAGCATCCCTCCCCTACAGATGGAGGCTGAGGGCACTCAGGGCCCAGCACAGGGCATCCACGAGGACTTACTGAACCCACATGGGCGCCTGCATTACCAAGAAGTGCCCCCCAAAAATAAGGGGGCTGCAGGGTTTTCTAGCATGTTCTTCCGTGCACAGCATTAACCTGTGTGGCAAGAAGCAATCCAGAGCCAAGTCCATGCCAGGAGGGGCTGTTCTGGGGTTTGGAGGGGCTCAGAAGCTCTCTACCCCAAGAGCCTCTCCCCAGGGAGCCCTGAGCAGCCCAGGAACCCCACAGCTCGCCCGGCACTCCCCAACAGCCCTCTGGAGACACGCGTTTTAAGTGTAGTTAAGAAGAAAGAGAACACTGGATGCCACTGAAGACAGTACCCAGACCGGAGATGTACGGCCATTCGGGACTGCCTCCCACCGAGCACCCAGCCAGAGCAGGGACACACAGATGGCGAAAACCAGGCGCAGACAGGTAGGTCGGCACATGCCAGAGCCGGACAAGGACCCTCTCTAGTCAGGAGAGCCCCGGGGTTCACTTTCACGACTTTTGTGACCTCAGGGACAGGAGTTTACCTCTCTGGGCCTCAGTTTCCCCACCTGGAAGACCAGAGGGCTGGCTAAATGATTTCTACAGAGCCTTCCACTTGCTCCCAGGGAGTGTGGACCTCGAGGCTCCGCTCTAGCGCTGAGCCTCAGCTTCCCCCAGGAGAAAGCTTCACTCCCTTACCCCCACCCACGCCGGTCCGCCCGGGGCCGAGCGCTTACCCGACGGGCACGCGCCCTTCTGCAGCTGGCGCACGGGCGTCCCCGAGAGCTGCAGCGCGCGGCGGCTGGCCGCCTGCAGCGCGCACACGTTGGCGTAGGTGTGCCCGTCCGTGCCGCACACGGCGTGCGCCCAGCGGCACCGGCACACGCCGCGCGCGCACTCCAGGCTCTCCCCGCACGGCGAGTCGAGGGGGCGGCCGCACGGCTCGCCCTCGCCGGCGGCGCACACCAGGCAGCAGTTGCAGAGGTCCGGCACGTAGCCGCCGGGGCAGCGCGGACTCGGGCACCGCGACACGTCGCAGCGCGCGGGGCACGGCGCCGCCGGGGGCTCCCGGGCCAGCGCCAGCGCGGCCAGCGCGGCCAGGAGCAGCGCGCGCGCCTGCATGGCCATGGCGGCGGGCGGCAGCGCGGGGGACCGGCCCTGGGCGAGCGGGGACGCCGAGGCGGCGCGGGGGCCGGGCGCGGGGGGCCGACGGAGGGGACGCGGGCGGGCGCGTGGCCACATGCGCCGGCGGCTCAGGCGGGCGGGCGCCGGGACCGCAGGGGCATGCCCGGGGCTCGGCGACGGGAGAGGCGCCCGCTCCCTCCGGGCCAACGGTCTGCGGGCGGCGGGCCCGGCCGCATTTAAAGGCGCGGCCCCGCCTGCCCTCGCTGGAAGGGGGCGGCCCGGCCCCTCCGCCAGCCCCGCCCAGGCCCCAGCTGGCCCCCGCCCCGCCTTCTGGGCCCGGACCCACCCGGCCGGCAGCGGCACTAGGCCTGCCTAGTCTGGGAACCCCGGCGACGGGTATGCTGCGGGCCTCGAGGGATGGGGGCCATGCAGAGACGGGGCCTCCAGGGCGCAGGCCTGCGACAACCCTGGATCCCAGCACCAGCTGTGTCCGTGTCTGTGTCCAGGGACCCAGGGATCCGAGCTGGTCCCCTCTCCCTAAGGACGCTGGCAAGTCCAGATCTCCCCAGCTCCCCCTCCCCAGCGTGGGAGCCCTCAGCACAGGGACTGGCACCGTCCCCAGGAGGGGTGTGGATGGATGTCACCCCTCCTCGCTCACTCCCCACCTCCACTGGAGACAGACCTCCAGGAAGCAACCGCCTTGTGCCCCGACTCCCCTCCTCGGTCTTTAGAGCTTGGAGGATGCGCTCGGTGAGGAGAAAAGCAGCAGCTTTGTTTTTCTGAGTTGCTGCCTCGGCATCTCAGAGTGTGACAACCTGCTTGCACTGAGTGTGGACATTTAGAGAAGGCCCTGAGCTTAGGGTGCCCACCGTAAGTTCCCGTTTTGCTTTTCCTGGGGCATCTTTAAAAATGACCACTTAGAGCTGAGCCCACGAAGAGTTAGTGACCTCCACCCCAACCACCTTATAAATAACAGGTACTTGCTACCCTGCTTTCTGTCTCCTGCTGGCTCGTCACCTGCTTGTTGTACCCCACCCCCCCCAACACTCTCCCAGGCTTTGGGCGGGGTCTGTCCAAGCTCCAGTCCCAGCTCTCGTGCTCTGTGGCCCTGGGAGTGGTCCTGTGCCTCGGTTTCCCCCTCCATGAAACGGGAATGACTAGCGCTTCGCTGCCTCCTAGGATGGTTGGGGGCCCACATGCCGTAAGTGAAGGAGTGAAGCTCCCAAGCGCTTCATGCTTGGCACACAGTCAGCCCGCAGCACCTGGGAGCTGTCTCCATTCTCATTATTCCACACCGTTCTCTGAAGGGCCACTTGAGACCCGGGCCCTGCTCGGGAACCAGAGCCTGGTGACAATGTCAAGCCAGGGTGACAAGGGCTGTGGGGGTCAGAGGAAGGGGCCGAACCCCCTTGGGAGGTGAACTTCAAGGTGGGGAGGCTTTGTGCACCAGCACTGGGCGGCCGGGGTGGGGGGCGGGCAGGGGACAAACCAGGAGCCAGTCACCGCCTGGGCAGAGGGAAATCTGAGCAGCGACTCGCTGAGTAGGGGAAAACGTCGTGTGCAAGCCCAGAGCTGGGGTCTCACCCTCTTTGTCACGAGCCCCTTTTCCGCCTGGTGAGGTCTGGGGAGCTCAGCTCAGAACGGTGATTTTTAAATGCGTAAAACAACCTGCATGGCATTACAAAAGGAAACGATGCCATTAAAATACAGTCAGTAGGACACGTAAGACAACAGGCAACTCCACGGTCTATGCGGGGCTGTGTCGTGAGCAGTGAAACACCGCCCCCCTCCGGCGCCGGGACACTGGCCGGGATCCCCGGGCAGCTGAGCAGACGGGGATCCGGAGGGGCTGCAGCCACACAGTCTGCTGTGGAGACGCCTGTGTTTGCTCTGGGTGACGGGTCACAGGGAGCCGTGGCTCAGACCTGCTTCACCACTGAAGGAAATGCTGGGCCTCAGGGCAGGTGTCGGTGACGTGAAGATGTTGTCTGTTTTTCTCCAAGTTTTCGGGCACCCGGGCTAGGGGCCGTGGCTCAGAGGAGGGAGGGGCAGCTGAGGGATAGGGGTGGGTCCAACCCCTGAGGGCCCTGGGGTCCTTGAAGGACTGGGCCCTGCTGAGGGGTGAGGTGGGGGCGTGGCCCATCAGACAGTGTGTTGGAGGGAGTGGCTCGGGCTGGGGAGGACACAGGAGGGAGGAGCTGGAGTCCCGGGCGTGAGCACCCACAGGAGGCAGAGGGACAGTGGCCGTGAGCGTGGGGCTGCAGCCCCACAGGGGAATCGGGTGTGAGGGGCTGGGACCCCCCTTCTAAAAGGCCCTCGACAAAGGGCAGTAGGACATGCGTTTCTGTCTCAAAAAACTCGAAGGGGATTTTGCTGTGAAGATGTGGGGCACTTCCGGCCTTTCCTTGGAACAAGCCAGAATCCCAGGGTTGGGGGCCCTGGGCTGGACTGGGCTGGGCTGGGCCTCCCCCAACCCTGGCCAGTGCTCCTGGCTCGCATCTCCTGCAGGGCAGCTCAGGCCTGAGGGGCCGGGGGAGGGACCCGCAGGGCCAGGCTGTCCTGGGGGCGTCGTGGCCCAGAGCAGACTCCTCGGGGCCACACTGTGCTGCAAACGCCACCCTCAGGGCAACACTTCTGCGTCCTGGAGTCCCCCAGGCACAGAAAAGCAGAGACCTGGGCAGGGTCAGGAGAGACCTTTTGTCCGCAGATGGGGAAACTGAGTCTCAGGGAGGTCCCCAGCTTCCCAGGGCTGGCTGCTGCTGCAGACCAGAGCCTGCACTGCCCTCTATAGTTTTCAAGTGCTGACAGCTGCTTCTTGGGCTGAGGCCGTTCCCACGCTCTGCCAGGTGGTCTGGCTCAGTCCTCACTGCCGCCCGGGGAGTGGGGTTACGGTCCCTCGGAGGGGATTCTGGACGGCGGTGGTCACAGCGTGTGGCAGGCTGGCACTCAGGTCCCGGTCTTTCTGCCAGCCAAGTGCAGGCTCTTTCCTTGAGATCACACTGCCCCCAGCGGTCACTTGACTTGACCTTTACAACCACCTTGCAAAGGGGACATTTATTCCCATACGGATGGGGAAACTGAGGCCCAGAATGAAAGGACACGTAGTGGTTCCCTCTCCACTTGGGAGCTGGGGTGCCGACCCCTGGGGTCGCACTGGTTCTCCCCTGCTGTGGGCAGGCCCAGGGTCCCCAGGCGGCTGTGGGAGAGACGGTGGGAGGAGCGCCCCCTGCTGCTCCCCTCCTTCTCGCCACCGGATCAGCAAAGCGGGACACCCTCAGGGGCTTCCCCATCTGCCAGGGACCCCAGGGTCTGAGTTTCCCAGAGCCCGGCCCCCCTGTGGGTGAGCATTCCTGGAAGGCCCAGGAGGCACCAGCTGGCCCTCCAGGGAAGGTGGGCCCTGCTTCTCCATCAGGACTTACGGGGCACACGAGGCATTGTCGTCAGTCCAGGCTTCCAGACTTGGCTCTGCGGGCATGTCCAGCCACCATGCCAGGCCCTCTCTCGCATGTCGTTGCAATCCACTCTCCATCAAATGCTGGGAGGCTTGTGTTATTAACATAAATTTATCATTCATTCAGTCGTTTGTATTTGCTCCCCTTTAGTCCTCCCCCTAATATTTAAGAATCTGTATAACCAAGAATAGGATAAAAGGGAGGAGAGAGAAATAGAGTAAAACAAAAAAGGGTGGTAGAAATATAATGGAGAGTCAGAGGCGAGGTTAATATACAATTTCTTGTCGTGAGATGCTGTTTTTTAGTGTGTGCTCATAAATTTGGCTCTGAGCTTCCTGGTAGCCAGGGCAAAGAGGGAAACATGATGTGCATGTGATGAAAACAGGCCCATTGCTCCAAAGCAGCCTAACTCTTTTCACTATCTAGAGGAGAAAGGGATTCCCCAGGAAGCCTCAGAAAGAGGATGCTGAGGATGTCCTGACAGTGAGTCTCGTGGGGCTCCTCAGAAAATATTCCTCAGTGGGGGCCAGGGACAAGATAGCCCAGGGATCCTTCAAGAAGCTCCGTTAGTCAGCAGGTGTAATTTGGATTTTCCTGGGGGGCAGGGGGAGCAACTAGTGTCCAAGGTTGGCAGAAAGTTCTAGAAGCTAATTCTGGAGCAAGGCGCATGTGATACTGAAGTGCATTAGGACTGTCCTGACCCGCGCACTGGCGAGCCTGCCTGTCCAACTGGTCCTCCCCACCTGACTCATCACCATGGCAACGAGCCCGTGGACCTTCATTAAACCAGTGGACTTGGGTCAGCTCACATGGCACGCTACACAACAGGGAGAGAAGGTTCTAGAAGAAGAGAGAGGCTGTGAGGACTGAAGGCCTTCAGAAGTGTGTCAACGAGGACCCCAGATACTCTGCTTTGGGACCCTCTAACGAAACATGGCCCGGGGGACGAGCCATCCTCCCCTGGGCCGGCTCCGCGGGCTGCGCAGCCCATAGCGCTGGCGTGGGAGGACGGGGCATTCCCGACCGGCCAGCAGAGCAGCGGTGGGCCGAACGCAGTGGTGACCCCCGCAGACTCTGCCTGGTTTGTGGGCTGGTGGGAAGCGCCCCTCAGGGACACGGAGAAATTCTTGGGGAAAGAGGACACTTTCCGTGGGGAGGGTCCTCTGCCTGCAGGTGGGGGCTCCTGCTGTGAAAAGTGACCTCGCTCCAGGTTGCAATTCTAATGTGACCTCCGTCTGGGTCGTGCCTGACTCCTCCAGATGGCCGCCCCTGCCGAGGGGGACAGTGTCTCATCTCCCCAGGCTGGTGCGCCGGGCGTCGGCCGCCGTTACTTACACTGATCGGAATGGAGTTGAGTCCCTCCAGGCTGGACCTGGGCGGGGCCGGGTCTGCCTCCCCGCGGCGCCCCCAGCCCATGCGGCCACCTCTGCACAGAGCTGGACAACGGGGCCGCGTCCCGGTCCTCAGGCCGGGCTCTCCATCTCTGGGCAGGCTCTGCCCTTTGACCTGACCCTTGTCCAGGCCTGGGCTTCACACTGGATGAGG